GATATTGCAAAAATCTCCATTCCCACCCCTCTGGGGCCAGCCAGAGGTTGGTATTTGCCGGTTCTCCGAACTACTCAAAATTTCCGCTACCGGTTCTCCAGAAACTGTCAGAAGCTGCTGGATTTCATCCCTGCGCTGGAGCATCGGTAATCTGAAGACCAACAGGCTGGCGCACGCATGCCTTTTTTTGGGCTGTTTTCTGGGCTCTTTTCCGGCCATTCTTTGGGCTCTTTTTGGGCTGTTTTTTGAGCCAAAAGCGGCCCTGAAAATGGCCTGAAAAATGGCCTGAAAATGGCCTGAAAAACAGACTGGTTTTTGACCGTTTTCAGGCCATTTTACGGCGCTCCTGCACCCATGAAGACTAGCTGGCTAGTGTGCTGGAAACCAGAAGAGCAGCTGGCAATGGCACGCATGCCCATAGAGAGGGTTGTGCATGCCACCTCTGGCACGCGTGCCATAGGTTTGCCATCATGTGTATAGGGTTTTCTGTTCGAGCAGGGGTTGGACTCAGGGGTGAAATCCAAATTTTTTTACTACAGGTTCTGTGGGAGTGGCTTGGTGGGCGTGACAGGGGAAGGATACTGCAAAATCTCCATTCCCACCCCACTCCAGGGGAAGGATACTGCAAAATCCCCATTCCCTCCCCACTCCTGAGGGAAGGATATTGTAAAATCTCCGTTCCCACCCCACTCTGGGGCAAGCCAGTGGTGGCATTTGCCGGTTCTCTGAACTACTCAAAATTTCCGCTACCGGTTCTCCAGAACCTGCTGGATTTCACCCCTGGTTGAACTAGAAGACCTCCAAGTTTCCTTCTGACTCGATAATTCTGCTGGCAGTTTTTGTTGGTAAAAATTGACAATTGGTTAGTAATGGACCTCTGAACCACATTATGGGATCCTTCCTTCCTTCTGACACAATATTTTTTTTTTGCTCCACAGCTGTTAATAAAAACTGTCTACAACTTTTGGCCCTGTTGGGAAAACTTTAATTAAACACTCCATCCCAATGGTGAATTCATTAGTGTGCAGCTTTTCAATCTGGAAAAAAAACCTCATTTTGTCTTCACTGCAATTTGTGACATCACCTCCCGTATTTCTTTCAGGTTGCCTAAGTCTATACAAGGAAAATGATTACGATGGAGCCCATCAAGACTTTTGGATTGCTGGTGGATGGTGACCGCTCATTTGTAAGCTTTTACTCCCCAATGCACTATCGTACCTGAGATACCTTTACTGTACAGATTTGTCTTCAGAAAAAGTGAGTACATAACTATGATTGGCACACGAGCATGGAGATAGCTGCAAAGATGTGTACAAGGCTTAGAGGTAAATAAAAATAACAGAATAATAGAGATGTAAGGGACCTTAGCAGTCTGCCAATCCAGCCTCCTGTTCAAGCAGGAAATCTCAGAGAGAGAGAGAGAGAGATGGTTATCCAACCTCTTCTTAAAAACCTTCAGTGTTGGCACAGCCACAAATTCTGGAGGCAAATCATTCCACAGATTAATTGTTAATAGGTTGCTTCTCTCCTTGATTGGTTTCCATCCATTGCTTCATGTCCTACACTCAGGTGTTTTGGAGAATAAGTTGACCCCCACTTCTTTGTGGCAGCCCCTGAGATATTGGAAGAGTGCTATCATGTCTGTCTGTCTGTCTGTCTGTCTGTCTGTCTGTCTGTCTGTCTGTCTGTCTCTCTCTCTCTCTCTCTCTCTCTATATATATATATATATATATAATATCTATATATCATCTCTCTCTGCTCCATATTGATCTGTATGTTTATCTATCTATCTATCTATCTATCTATCTATCTATCTATCTATCTATCCATCCATCCATCCATCCATCCATCCATCTATCTCAACATCATCATCATCTGTCTATTTATATATCTATATCTCTATTATGCATATCTATCTATCTATCTATCTATCTATCTATCTATCTATCTATCCATCCATCCATCCATCCATCCATCCATCCATCTATCTATCTATCTCATCATCATCATCATCATCTGTCTGTTTATATATCTATATCTCTATTATGCATATCTATCTATCTATCTATCTATCTATCTATCTATCTATCTATCTATCTATCTCATCATCATCACCACCACCATCATCTGTCTGTTTATATATCTATATCTCTATTATGCCTATCTATCTATCTATCTATCTATCTATCTATCTATCTATCATCTACTCCATGTGCTCTTCAGGTTGAAAAGATCTGGAAACAGCAAGGTGTACATTTGAAATGTGTGAGAAATTTCTTTTCTGCTCTAAGGGTGCCCATTAAACAATGATTTTCAAACTTGAGCTGTATTTCAAATATACTCATCCATGAGGTGGGGTTGACCCCCAGCTGACAGACATATTGAACCAGAGCGCTATATAGACAAGGCAGAAACCGAGGCAGAAATTTGCAGTAGCAAAAGTGTGTTTTTCTCGACATGCCTGAAGCCTGAATTCAGTCAGCAGCCTCAAGAAGGAAAAGAGACTTATATATTTGTTGGGGATTTTACCAGAAACTTATAGTAAAGAGAATGTATATTTGATTATCCATGTAATAACTGCAGCTAGAATTGTATTTGCACAAAATTGGAAAAGTCAAGAGATGAGAATGTGATTAGGAAAATATTAGAATGTGCAGAAATGAATAGATTAACACTTGCAATCAAAGAGAAGGAACAAACTGAATATTATATTGTATGGGAACTATTTTACCGATGGCTAGAGAATAAATATGAATATGTGCAGAAATGAATAGGTTAACACTTGCAATCAAAGAGAAGGAACAAACTGAATATTATATTGTATGGGAACTATTTTACCGATGGCTAGAGAATAAATACGAATATGTGCAGAAATGAATAGGTTAACACTTGCAATCAAAGAGAAGGAACAAACTGAATATTATATTGCATGGGAACTATTTTACCGATGGCTAGAGAATAAATATGAAAGTCAGAAATAAAAGTAGATTAGTGAAATACGGAAAATATATTAATAGAATTAAATAAGCTAAGAAGAGAATTATTACAGTATTAGATATGCTATATATAATCAGTATTAAGAATAGTAATTAAGAATAGACAAATAATGAATATGGCTGTAAATTTTAATTGGTATTGCACAAGACAAAAAAATTTAATTTAAAAAAAAAAGAAAAAAAAGAAGGAATAGTCTTTGACCTCTGAACGGGGCACATCAATTGAAAATCTGAACAGCTCCCTTGTAGGAAGACTTGATAAACATATCACAGTCTTTTGAAGTAATCTGACAATGTGCAGAAAGGGCTTGTGTGTGTGTGTGTGTGTGTGTGTGTGTGTGCGTGCATGCGCACACACAAAGAGGACTTTTAATTGTAGACCTGAAGCAGTGGAGAGAATAGCCCAGACCTTAACCCAATTGAAAATCTATGGAGCCAACTAAAGAAACTTGTTAGTCAGAAGTGGTTGTTAGTTACTACCGGTTCTTGCGAACCGGTCCGAGCCAGGGGCAACCCACCACTGCTGCAGAACTAAAAGACTTGGTTCACTCCATGGGAAGACGTTGTAAAGCCATAATTCATGCTAAATTACCCAACGAAGTATTAACTGACATGGTGATAATTTTTGCATATCTCCTTTTTTCTATGGTGATAATTTTTGTATCTCTCGTTTTTTTCTACGTGTTTCACTTTTCTTCTTTCTACTGTAACTGCTATGCTAATAGCAAATCCTTCATAAAAGTTACTGCACTACTATTAATCTTCTCATTGTTCCTATCACCCATCTCCTCCCACTTATGACCGCATGACTGTAACCTTGTTGCTGGTATCCTTACGATTTAAATTGACTGTTTCCTAATATGATTTGATTGCTTATTTGTTCCCTATGACTATCATTAAGCATTGTACCTTATGATTCTTGACGAATGTATCTTTTCTTTTATGTACACCGAGAGCGTATGGACCAAGACAAATTCCTTGTGTGTCCAATCACACTTGGTCAATATGAGTTCTCTTCTCTTCTCTTCTCTTCTCTTCTCTTCTCTTCTCTTCTCTTCTCTTCTCTTCTCTTCTCTTCTCTTCTCTTCTCTTCTCTGGGGCCCCCGAAAACCCTAATAAGCAGGTATATACAAAACAATATGCAGGCTATTGCTATAATGCATTGTAAACCGCCCTAAGTCTACGGAGAAGGGCAGCATATAAATTGGACTAATAAATAAATAAATAAATACATACATACATACATACATACATACATACATACATACATATTCTCTTCTATTCTCTATTCCATTCCATATTTTCTATTCTATTCTATTCTATTCCATTTCATTCCATTCCATATTCTGTTCTCTATTCTCTTTTCTTTTCTCTTCTGTATTCTCTATTCTATTCTATTCTATCCTATTCTCCATTCCATTCCATTCCATTCCATTCCATTCCATTCCATTCCATTCCATTCCATTCCATTCCATTCCATTCCATATATTCTATTCTATTCTATTCTATTCTATTCTATTCTATTCTATTCTATTCTATTCTATTCTATTCTATTCTATTCTATTCTATATTCTCTTCTCTTCTCTTCTCTTCTCTTCTCTTCTCCTCTCCTCTCCTCTCCTCTCCTCTCCTCTCCTCCATTCCGTTCCGTTCCGTTCCGTTCCGTTCCGTTCCGTTCCGTTCCGTTCCATTCCATTCCATTCCATTCCATTCTTTTCTAGATTAAATTATATTTCCATTGATATATAATTTTATGGTACTACTTAAAAAAAAAAGTGGTGTTATTAGCTAGTTTTAGAAAATATACTTTTTCCAAAAGGTTTCCACAATTCTGGCCACTACTGTATATCCCATCTGCTACTGAAGTAAGAAAGTGGTGATGGGGGTATATATTGATATTGAGGAATGGTTTATTGGTATGTATTTCTATGTTTGTAGATTTGGAGGTGTTCTGAAGCAAACATATTATTTCTCTCTATTTAGGTTGAAGGTGTGGACTTCAGTCTATCCCACTCCAATGTCAGCGTTCAACCAGACCGTGACTCATTTTGTGTTCTTGGGACTGACTGATATCCGGAGTCTGGAGCTGGCTTTGTTTGTCATTTTTTTCATCATCTACCTGCTTATTTTAATAGGGAATGTCCTCATCATAGTGACGGTGGCTTCTGATCGGTGCCTCCACACCCCCATGTACTTCCTCTTGGGGAACCTCTCTTTGATTGACATCTGCCATTCATCTGTCACTGCACCCAAGATGCTGCTTGACACCTTCCTCTCCCAGAAGGTGATCTCCTTCGGGGGATGTGTGGCTCAACTCTTCTTCCTCCACATCTGTGCCTGTGCTGAGATCTTCCTCCTGACTATCATGGCTTATGACCGTTGCGTTGCCATCTGCTACCCATTGCATTATGTGAAACACGTCAACCTGAAGATTTGTGCGTACTTGGTGGGCGGTTTGTGGGTGGGCGCGACTGTCCATTCCCTGGTCCAGACTGTTCTCACTGTTCGCCTCCCTTACTGTGGCCCAAATGTCATAGATAGCTTTTTCTGTGATGTCCCACCGGTCATCAAATTGGCTTGCACTGATACGTACTTCACTGGCGTTCTCATCGTATCGAATAGTGGCATGATCTCCTTGGTGTGCTTCTTGGCCTTGGTGACTTCCTATGTCATCATCCTGTTCTCACTGAGGAGACGGACTGCTGAGGGCCGTCGCAAAGCTTTCTCAACCTGCAGTGCCCACTTACTGGTTGTGGTCTTGTTCCTGGGGCCATGCATCGTCCTCTACAGCCGCCCTGCTTCCAACTTCTCCTCAGACAAACTGATAGCTGTTTTCTACACCATGGTTACTCCTCTCCTCAACCCTGTGATCTATACCCTGAGGAACAAAGAGGTAAAGAAGTCCATGCAGAAACTCTGGCTCCGGAAGAAGATATTTTTTACAAGGGGATGAGTTGGCCAACTAGCTTGACAAGAAATAGGAGAAGACAAAGGCAAAAATAATAATAAAAAAAAAATGGACAAAAATATACCTTGGATAGAAAAAATGGTAAAGGAACATATAGACCCATGATGGCGAACCTATGGCATGTGTGCCACAGGTGGGATTTTCGGGCCTTCTGGGCCCACCAGAACTACGGAAACAGGCTGTTTCCTACCTCCGGAGGACCTCGGGGGGTGGGGTCTGGAAGGCCCGTTTTTCTCTCTCCCCAGACTCCAGAGCCTTTCTAGGAGTCTGGGGAGGGCAAAAACATCCTTCCCCAACCCCCTGGAGGCCCTCCAGAGGCCAGAAACGGTCCATTTGCCAACTTCCAGTGGGACCTGAAGGCTCGTTTTTTGCTGTCCCCAGCCTCCAGAGCCTTTCTAGGAGTCTGGGGAGGGTGAAAACGGGCTTCCCCATCCCCCGGAGGCCCTCTGGAGGCCAGAAACGGCCCATTTGCCAACTTCCGGTGGGACCGGAACTTCCTGGCACACGATGGCAAAAAGGTTAGCCATCACTGATATAGACGTTAAACCAGAAATATTCCTGATGGATATCATACCAGAAAAATATAATAAAAGGGGATATATACTTAATACTACATGCATTAACAACAGCTAGAATTACATTTGCACAACACTGGAAGAAAATAGAGATCCCTACAGAAGAGAATGTAATAAAAAAAATATACTAAAATGTGCGGAAATGGACAGATTAACACTTAAAATCGAAGACTTTTTGACTTTTTGACCATTTTTCACCATTGTCACATCTCTACATCCACCTATGGTTTAAAATTCAGACGCTTGGCCACCGACTCATATTTATGGCTGTCGTGGGGGTCAACCAAATCACCTTTTGCGACCTTCTGACAAGCAAAAGCCAGATTCCGTGTTACCAACCGTGTTACTAATTTAACCACCGTAGCGATTCAATTAACAACAGTGGCGAGAAAGGTTGTGAAACGGGGCAAAATTCACTTAACGAATGCCTCACATAGCAATGGAAATTTCGGCCTCAATTGTGGTCGTAAGTCAAGGACTTCCTGTATTTAATGGTGTAGCGGTTCAGACCGGTTCAGGAGAACCGGTAGAGGCGACCTGCGGGTGGGCCCGCCCCGCCCCGCCCCGCCCACTTGCCTGGGTGCAATCCCGTCCTATATCGCTGTGTTTTGTGACGCTGCATGCATGGTGGCGGATGGGGCGCGTGCGCTCACATTTCCAGTGCTGGGCGAACTGGTTGCTATAGTATATTTATTTTATTTATTTTTATTTATTTTATTTAATTTCTATACCACCTTTCTCCTGCGGGACTCAGGGCGGTGTACAGCCAAGATAAACCATAGCATATAAAATTTAAAAAATAATTTAAAAAACAATTAAATAATTTTGGCCCAAGTTTAAAACAACCCAATTAAAACCAAATTCAATTAAAAACTGAGAGGATGGGATCAGGCCAGCCCAGCTAGATGGAATAAGTGTGTTTTCAGGGCCCGATGAAAAGTCCGGAGGTCTGATATCATGCGTATCTCAGGGGGCAGGTCATTCCAGAGGGCAGGTGCTGCCACAGAGAAGGCTCTCCCCCTGGGGGTCGCCAGCCAGCACCGTCTGGCCGACGGCACCCTGACGAGGCCCTCTCTGTGCGAGCGAACCAGTCGGTGGGAGGCTATTGGCGGCAGAAGGCGGTCTTGCAAATACCCCGGCCCTAAGCCATGGAGCGCTTTAAAGGTGGTCATGAATCCCAGCTCTGGTGTAGCTATAGCAGAGGTGGTATTCAGCAGGTTCTGACCAGTTCTGGAGAACCAGTAGCGGAAATTTTGAGTAGTTTGGAGAACCAGTAAATACCACCTCTGACTGCCCCCGCCCCCATCTATTCTCTGCCTCCTGAGTCCCAGCTGATCGGGAGGAAACGGGGATTTTGCAGTAACCTTCCCCCGCCATGCCCACCAAGTCACGCCCATCAAGCCATGCCACGCCCACAGAACCGGTCGTAAATTTTTTTGAATCCCACCACTGAACTATAGCATTGGAAGATGGAATCTCAAGCAAGATGGAATCTCAAGCAAAATGGCCCCATTTTGCGTTTGAGGCCCAACTGAAAAAGGCTGTTTGAGGCATTGACTTGCCTTTTCTTTTTCTTCCTCTTTCCCCTTCCTTTCCCCCGCTATTCCGTTCCCTTTTTCCTTCTCTAATTTCCCTAACATTTGCTTTTGTATTCTCTTTGTATGTTATATTATAAACTAATAAAACGATATACATAAAGAGAAAGGCTGTTTGAGCAAGAAAGGAAAGATGGAATAAAACATAGCACCGAGTCTGAAAGAACCTTTCTGTAAGTTTATTCTCCAGAACTGTAAGAAAAACACATTATTTTATTTATTTATTTATTAATTTTATTTCTATACCGCCCTTCTCCCGAAGGACTCAGGGCAGTGTACAGCCTGATTAAAAGCACAAAGACAAACAAAATTTTAAAATTATTAAAATTATTAAATAATTGGCTCAATTATAAAACCCCCAAATTTAAAATCCCATATTTAAAACCAATTAAAATCTTTACATTGATAGCCTGGCCTGGCGGAACAACAAGGTTTTGAGGGCACAGCGAAATACACGGTGATCGGAGATCTTACGCAATTCTGGGGGCAATTCATTCCAAAGGGCAGGGGCTCCCACAGAGAAGGCCCTCCCCCTGGGTGTCGCCAGCTGACATAATTTGGCCGATGGCACCCTGAGGAGACCCTCTCTGTGGGAGCGGACTGGCCAGTGGGAGGCTACTGGTGGCAGAAGACGGTCTCGAAGGTACCCAGGTCCAATGCCATGGAGCACTTTAAAGCACTCCATGTTGTTGTTGTTTTTTTTCATTCAGAGAAATAATTATGATATCTCTCATATGAACTTCAGTAGCAGCTGCTCCATCTTAGCTGTATGATGGGCCCAAACAATCAGCGTTGCCCATAAGCTATGATAATTTGTCTAGTTCAGGGTTGTGATTGACCTTATGGGGGGACGGGTGTGTGTGGCCAGAGTGGGCATGGCCAGCTCGATATCACTCATGTCGGAGGTGCCTGTAGTGGCCCAAGCGGTTTGCAAGTGAAAACAAGCTCCCGAGCTCCGTTTTCAGTTGCGATGGCCTCTTGCAACTCTCTGTCAGTGAAAACGGAGCTCGGGAGGGCTGCATGAGGCCCCCCCGGGTGCCGTTTTCACTGGCAGAGGCACTGCGGGCTGGTCCTTTGCTGTTTTCAGGGGGGCCCCACTGTTCTCTCCCCCCCAACTACAGGTAGTCCTCGACTTACAACTGTTCATTTAGTGACCGAGGGCCGATGGCACTGAAAAAAGTTTCTTATGACCATTTTTCACTGGCCATTGCGGCATCCTTGTGGTCACGTGATTAAAATTCGGTATGGATTTATGACACTAGATTTAGGACACTAGTAAGATCCCACATTAGGAATTACTTAGTGGCGATAAAAGCAGCGAAATGTAGTTATTTTGCTGCTCTTATTGCGTCATCAGATAATCGCCCGGCCGCCCTCTTTAGGGTGACCCGCTCCCTGCTCCACCAGGAAGCGCGGGAGGACCCCTTGGAGGGTAGAGCCGAGGATTTTGTTCAGTATCTGTATGACAAAATCACTCAGATTCGGGAAGATTTGGACTCCGACTGGGTAGTCTCAGGGGGAGAGACAGGGGCAGGTCTTGAGAATGTTATCTGGGATGAGTTTGATCCTGTGACCCCTGAGGACGTGGACAGGATTCTGGGTAGACTGAACGCGACCACTTGTTTATTGGACCCGTGTCCTTCCTGGTTAGTACTGGCTTCCCGGGAAGTGACACGAGGCTGGCTCCAGGGGATTATAAACGCTTCGCTGAGTGAGGGTGACTTTCCCGCCGCCTTGAAAGAGGCGGTGGTGAGGCCTCTCCTCAAGAAGCCTTCCCTGGACCCGGCAATGTTGGTAAATTATCGTCCGGTCTCCAATCTTCGCTTTGTTGCGAAGGTTGTTGAGAGTGTGGTCGCGCAACAGCTCCCCCAGCACCTGGATGAAACGACGTATCTGGATCCGTTCCAGTCGGGCTTCAGGCCCGGGTACAGCACGGAAACGGCATTGGTCGCGTTGGTTGATGATCTCTGGAGGGCTCGGGACAGGGGGTGCTCCTCTGTCCTGGTCCTGTTAGATCTCTCAGCGGCTTTTGATACCATCGACCATGGTATCATGCTGCACCGGTTGGAAGACTTGGGGGTGGGAGGCACTGTGTTGCGGTGGTTCTCCTCCTTTCTCTCTGACCGGTCGCAGTCTGTGTTGAGAGGGGGACAGAGGTCAACCCCGAGGCCCCTCATATGTGGGGTGCCGCAAGGGTCGGTCCTCTCGCCTCTCCTGTTCAACATTTATGTGAAGCCGCTGGGCGAGATCATCCGTGGTTTCGGGGTGGAGTACCATCAGTACGCTGACGACACCCAGCTGTACATCTCCACCCCGGATCACCCCAACGATGCCCTTGAAGTGATGTCCCGGTGCCTGGAGGCCGTACGGATCTGGATGGGGAGGAACAGGCTCAGGCTCAACCCATCCAAGACTGAGTGGCTGTGGTTTCCGACGTCCCGATATAGTCAGTTGACGCCATCACTGACTATTGGGGGCGAATCATTGGCCCCCACGGAGAGGGCTCGCAACTTGGGCGTCCTCCTGGACTCACGGCTGTCTTTAGAAGAGCACTTGACGGCCGTGACCGGGAGGATTTTTCATCAGGTTCGCCTGATTCGCCAGTTGCGTCCCTTTCTGGATCGGGACTCTTTACGCACGGTCACTCATGCCCTTGTCACCTCCCGCCTGGACTATTGCAACGCTCTCTACATGGGGCTCCCCTTGAGGAGCACCCGGAGGCTCCAACTGGCGCAGAGTGCGGCCGCGCGGGTGGTAATGGGAGCGACATGGCGTTCCCATGTAACACCTCTCCTGCGCGAGCTGCACTGGCTCCCGGTGGTCTTCCGGGTGCGCTTCAAGGTTTTGGTTACCACC